GTGGTGGGGGGCAAAGGGATAGGCTAGGCTGGGGGGCAGAGATAGGCCAGAGCCAGTCAGAGAAAGCCTCTGAGATTGATTCCTTCCTTCCTTCTTTTTCCTTTTCTTTTTCTGGTAGTGAGCTTTGAACTCAGGGCCTTTCCTTCGCTTAGTTGGAGCTCTACCACTTAAGCCACATCTCCATCTCTGCTTTTGCTTGTTATTTTGGAGATAAGAATCTCAGGGACATTCCCTCCTGGTCTGACTTAAAGCCATAGTCCTCCAGATCTCAGCCCCCTGAGTAGCTAGGATTTCAGGAGTGAGTCAGGTGCAGATAAATAGGTTTACATTGTAATGGCCACCAAAATAGCATCTTAGAACTACAGGAGAGGCCATGGGGTTCAGTGACATTCCCCCTGCTCCTCTGTGGTGCTGCCTAGGACTGTTTCCTTGCTTCCATGGTTCCCTCAGATAGTAGACTGCTAATTGCCTACCTGTGTCAGGAGCTGTTCACTAGCCCCCTCTTTTAGGCCTCACAACAACCCTGGAAAATAGCAGTTGTTATATGTGATCATCATTTGATGCTGCAAGTAAGGAGACAGAGGCTGGGAGGGGCAGGGCTAGGATTGACAGCAAGGTTTGCCAATGCTAAAGTCCTAGACCGGTGGCATCTCTGTGGCCTGTGTTTTTCATGACCAGGGACTGTGTAGATTCTGCATCTCTGCTGACAGGAACCAAAGAGTAGAAGCCTTAGAAGCTAGAATGAGAGTGGAGACCTGAGGTGTCACAGAAACAGGCAGAGCAAGGCCATATCTGAGGCTCTTCTCCCTCCCCTGTGCTCAGCCTGAACAACTCTGGGAAGGAGAACAGGCTGTGGTCAGGAGTTGTTTCAAATTAGACAGAAATAGGTTGGCCTGAGATGGTGCTGCTTGAGAAAGGTCTGGGATTCCAGATTTCCAGATACCAGAGAGCTGGCTAGGCATTGGGAGTGGCAGGTGGGAGCCAGATGGAAAGGCTCCCTCTGCTGGAAAACATTGTCCATTTAGCCTCTGACCTCCTTAGATCCGGCCCAACACAGAGCACTCTCTCGGTCTCTCTCGGTCTCTGTCTCTGTCTGTCTCTCTCTCTTGCTCTCTCTCTCTCTCTGTGTATAGATGCCAGTGTCACTCCTAAGCAGGTGGGAAGTAGGAAGGACAGGCTCAAAGACTCAGAGGGAGAACTGGGCACTGGTGGCTCATGCCCTGTAATCTTAGCTACTCTGATGAAGGCTGAGATATGAGGATCCAGGTTCAAAGCTAGCTTGGATGGAAAGGTCTGTAAGATTCCATTTTCAATTAACCAGAACAAAGCCAGAAATGTAGGTGTAGCTCATGTGGCAGAGCACCAACCTTGAGTGGAAAAGGTAAGGAAAAGGTCTGATTTCAAGCCCTGGTATCAACACAAAAACAAAAAGGAGGAGGCGCCTGGGAATATGGCTCAGTGGTAGAGTGCTTGCCTAGCATGCATGAGGCCCTGGCTTCCATTCCTCGGTACCACATAAAGAGAAAAACCTGGAAGTGATGCTGTGGCTCAAATGGTAGAGTGCTAGCCTTGAGCAAAAGAAGCTCAGGGACAGTGCCAGACCCTGAGTTCAAAACTAAGACTGGCAAGAAGGAGGAGGAGGAGGAAGAAGAATTGGAGGAAGCCTAGCTGTGAGCAGAAGCTTTGGTGGTTTCATGTTCCATACGGCCACTTACCCGCTGGTGACACTGCGGTAGTTGTTTAACCCTCACAGCCTACATTTCTTTGTGCTTAGGTGGGAAATCTTCCTGATCTCCAGCTGGAATTATAGGTGTCTTCAATTATGCTTGGCCATCTCTTTTTGTTTAACTTTTCAAATTTTACAAATACATAATTATAGCCCAGTGCTATAATCATCTATAATCTTAGCTGAGGCTGAGATCTAAAGATCAGAGTTTGAAGCCAGCCCAAGAAAGAAAGTCCATGAGACTCTTAGCTCCAGTTAACTAACAAAAAGCCAGGAGTGGAGCTGAGGCTCAAGTGGTAGAGCTCCAGACTTGAGAAAACAACAACAACAAAACCAAGCAGGAGTACAAGGCCCGGATGGAGGGTGTGACATTGATCAAGATGTATTGTACTCATAGCCTGTCTCAGGGAATGGTAACTTCTTTGTGTAACTACTAACAATGAAATTTTTAAAAATTAAAGCAAAGAAAGTTAACTCTAAGATATGGAATCAGAGATTTTTATTTGCGGTTTTTGTTTTTAATGTATTATGTGATTTCTATATTCTTTGGGTTTTCCCCTATGGTTTATCCCTTGCTGTATTTGATTTTTGTACCCTGTGTATTGTGTATACATTTATCTTAATTAGGGAAGGGAAGAGGAACAAGAAAATGGCGACCAAAAGACAAAGGGCAAACCAATGCAATAGCAATACTCAGAAGAGGGGCTGGGAAGGTGGCTCAGTGGTAGAGCGCTTGCCTTGCATGCCAGAAGCCCTAGGTTCAAAAAAGCCAGAAGTGGTGCTGTGGCTCAAGTGGTAGAGCGCTAGCCTTGAGCTGAAGAGCTGAGGGACAGTGAAGAAAAATTGTTAGAAAAATGAGGGAGGGGGTAACAAGTTTGAAAAGTTATGTATTCACTACCTTACAGTTACTGTAACCCCACTGTACATCACTTTGACAATAAAATTAAATTTAAAAAATAAAAAAATTAAAGCAAAGGCATATGAGGCCCTGAGTTCAAGCTCCAGTAGTAATACACCTCTTTCTCTCTCTCTCTCTCTCTCTCTCTCTCTCTCTCTCTCTCACACACACACGTAAAAAGGATACTCATAGAAAGTTTCCCTCTCGCTGGGCGCTGGTGGCTCACGCCTGTAATCCTAGCTACTCAGGAGGCTGAGATCTGAGGATCGTGGTTCAAAGCCAGCCCGGGCAGGAGAGACCGTGAGACTCCTATCTCCAATAAACCACCAGAAAACCGGAAGTGGCGCTGTAGCTCAAGTGGTAGAGCGCTCGCCTTGAGCTGAAGAGCTGAGGGACAGTGCCCAGGCCCAGAGTTCAAGCCCCATGACCGACAAAAAAAAAAAAAAGTTTCCCTCTCACCCTGATCAGCTGCTCAGTCCTTTTCCAGAGAAAATAGCTGTTTCTTTTCAGAGTTGTTCCCAGGAGACAGTAAGATTCGTGCTATAGGGGCCACATCTGGAGGGCTGATCTTGCTCTCTGCCAGTCTCTAGTGTGGGACCTGCACACTTCTTCTCTGTGCCTATGTCCTCAAAGATGGAATCTTGAAGATTTGGGGGAGGGTCAAATGCCTCAAGGTATATAGGAAGCACCTTCTAAGTGTATTTACTATAATTACTATGAATATTCAAGTAAATGTATTTCTGCAACAAATGTGTGAGGAAAAGAATCCAGAACTTGTGAGTCGTTTCCAAACTGTTACTGAAGGTCCTTTCAAGGATATGTCAGATCACTTGGTAATAACCTCATTTCTGTGTCATCCAGGGGAACTTTCACATATGATTTACTTACCCCCCCACTCCTCATGTCTTCTTTTCTCTTCTTTTTTCTTTCATTTGTTTCTCTGTGTGTGTGTGTACTGGGGCTTGAACTCAGGACCTGGGAGCGATTCCTGAGCATTTTTGCTGCAGACTAGCACTTTACCACTTGAGTAATAGCTCCACTTTCATTTTTTTTGTAGTTAATTGGAGATCAGAGTCTCATGGACTTTCTTGCCCAGGCTGGTTTCACAGTAATCCTCAAATCTCAGCCTCCTATGAGTAGCTAGGGTTATGTGTGTGAGCCACTGATGCCTGTCTATCTGTTTCTTTTTTGAGAGATGGTCTTTTTTTTTGGGGGGGGGGTCCGATCATGGGGCCTGAACTCTGGGCCTGGGCACTATCCCTCAGCTCTTCAGCTCAAGGCTAGCTCTCTACCACTTGAGCCACCGTGCCACTTCTGGCTTTTTTCTTTTTGCTTATGTGGTACTGAGGAATCGAACCCAGGGCCTAAGGCATGCAAGGCAAGTGCTCTACCACTGAGCCACCTTCCCAGCCCTTGAGAGATAGTCTTGCTATCTTGCCTAGACTAGCCTCAAACTCAGCTCAAAGTGATCCGCCCACCTCAGTCTCCTGAGTATCTGGGATTAGAGGTGAATAAAACAGCATGTCCAGTTAATACACTACTAATAGTTAGGAGTCTATGAAATAAGACATTAACCTGAAGAAGATTGATAAATAGCAATTTTTTAAAGAAATACTATATGTTTACTGCCAGATAGGAATTAATTTTTTTCTTCCTCACTAGACTTTTCTTCAGTTAACTGGCAATAAGAGTCATCATTTCTTGCTTTGATCCAATCGGCGAGTTCACTGATTCAGTAGTTAAATAAATCTTGGTACTCACGCTATATTGTATTGATCATGTTTGTTTATTTTCTGTGCTTGTCCTGGGGCTAGAACTCCTGGGCCTGGAGATTGTCCTTGAGCTTTTGTGCTCAAGGCTAGTGCTCTATCACTCACCTGAGCCACTTACTGCTCCACTTCCCAGCTTTTTGTGGTTATTTGGAGATGAAAATTTCACCAATGTTTCTGCCTGAGATGGCTTTAAACAGAGATCCTTGATCTCAGCCACCAGTGCTCAGCTGTCATGCTGATTTTTGTGAAAAAGACTTTATTTGACAAACAATACTTTTGTCACTTTTCCATTCTTTTAATTTAATAAATCTTGAGGATCTCCTTTAATTCGAACATAAGGAGCTTTCTTTCTCTTCCTTAATAATCCTCTGTAGAGGATACAGATTACAGGGTAGGTATGGGTATAAGGCAATTACCCCCATAAACAATGTAACCAGTCCCCAGTGGGCAGACAGGTGGGTTCCATTGTGTTACTGCTAGGATGAATAAATAGCCTTGTACACAGAAGCAGATTTCCTCCAGCAGTACTAGATGGGAAGTCAGAAGAGGCTGTAGGCAGAAAAGGAGTCTAGGCAAGAGCCTGACCACCTACTCCTAACCTGGCCTAGCCCATCTTCCCTTGATTCTGTGTACACCTGGCCTCCTCCTCCTGCCTCTTTCTTGCCATTCTGAGCTCTTGATATGGCCAGAGAGGAAGGGCCAGACTTTGGTGGCCCACAGACCTGGGTATCGATGGGCACTGGCTAGGGGATGAATGTGCCTTGGAGAGGAGGATCTTGGGGACTTGAAACTTTTTGTTGGTGCTGTCCCTGGGCTGTAACCACTGGGAGAGAAGACCCTGAGTACTCTGGTAGGGGACAAAGGCTCTGGAGTCAGGGACTTGCTGAGGAGGCTGGGGTGCTGGGGCAGGAGGAGGGGCAGTCCCTAACAGCTCTGGCACCGACTTGCTTCTGGTGCCCAGGGCAGGTGGTTGGTCAGGGCAGAGTGTGTGGCAGGCAGTGGTGAGGAAGGGGCTGGCGAGGCCTGTGGTGATGGTGACAAGGTGGTCTAGAACACCCCCCTCCTGAGGAGGCTGGGCAAAAGAGGAGTTCAGTGAGGCCTGAAGCCTTTCTAGGAGGGATGGGGCAGCCTGAGCCTGGGCCTGGGCCTGGGCCACGAGCCCAGGCAAGGGCGGCCACTCAGGCTGGTAGTGCTGGCTGAGCTGCTCAGCTCTGGGCCTCCGGAGCAGCTGCCGGATCCTCCGTACCGTGTTGAAGCTGTCTGTCAGTACAGCCCACTCCAGGGATGTCTTGCCCCGAACAGGATCCACAGAAGTCAAGTCAGCACCTGGAAGGAGGCACAGGGTAACAAGGGAGTTAAAATAGGGAGTTGTGGCCAGGTGTCAGCAGCTCACACCTGTAGTTCTAGCTACTCAGGAGGCTAAGATCTGAGGATCATGATTTGAAGTCAGCCTGGGCAGGAAAACTCATGAGACTCCAATTAACTACTGAAAAGCTGGAAGTGGAGATATGGCTCAAGTGGTCTTGAGCAAAAAAAGCTCAGGGACTGTGCCCAGGCCCTGAGTTCAAGCCCCTGGACTGATGCAACAAAGAAAAAGAAAAAATAGGGAGTGGTGATTTGTGAAAGAATTGACTCACATTCAATTCAAAATCCACAGATCCTAGCCTTGGAAGACTACTACAGCCTTCTGCATCAGAGAGAAGAGACTGGATCCAAAAGGGAGGAAACTCCAGGACTAGAGTTCAAGCCCCAGGACACACACACACACACACACACACACACACACACACACACACACACACACACACACACACACACACACACAATGCTAATCCTATGGAAAGGGCAACATCAGGGGTAAAGAGAAAGATGTGGAACTCCTTTCCCATCTTTCCCCAGAGAAAAGAGGCTTTGGGAACAATGAAAATTCCAACTTCATAGTCAGAGTGATCCTCACTCCACAGCCCCACTCAGCACAGCAAGAGCCTCAACTATACGCCACTGTATTCCCAGGAGGCCTGCCTTGTCCCAGCTGAGGCCAACCCAGAGAAGGCCGGCACATTCTCCATACTGATGAGGCTCAGAGGAAGAAGTCATCCACCCAGGGTCACTCAGCCAGAGGCAGGGCAAGGACTAGAACCCAAGAAACAGATTCTAGGTCCCAGCCATTTCTTGTTTTCAAGATGTTTTGTTTGTTTGGTTGGTTTTTCAAGGGCTTGAACTCAGGACCTGGATGCAGACCCTGAGGAGCTGCTTCTGCTGACTCCTCCTCCTCTTCTTCTTCCTCTTCTTCTTCTCTTCTTCCTCCTCTCCTTCCTCCTTCTCCGCCTCCCCTTCCTTTTCCTCCTCCTTCTTTTTGTTTTTTGGTTGGTCATGAGGCTTGAACTCGGGGTCTGAGCGCTGTCCCTCAGCTCTTCAGCTCAAGGCTAGCACTCTACCACTTGAGCCACAGCGCCACTTCCAGAGTTTTCTGGTGGTTTGTTGGAGGTAAGAGTCTCATGGACTTTCCTGCCTGGGCTGGCTTTGAACTGTGATCCTCAGATCTAACCCTCCTACAGGCATAAGCCACTAGCACTCAGTTTCTTCTTTTTTGTGGGTCCTGAATTCAGGGTCTGGGTGCTGTCCCTGAGCCTCTCTGAACTCAAGGCTAGTAATCTACCACTTGAGCCACAGTGCCGCTTCTGGCTTTTTCTGAGTAGTTGATTGGAGACAAGTCTCATGGACTTTCCTCCCCTTGGCTAGGGCTGATCCTCAGATCTTAGCCTCCTGAATAGCTAGGATTACAGGTATGAGCCACCTGGCACCTGCCTTGAACTTTTTTTTTTTTTTTTGCTCAAAGCTAGTACTCTACCACTGGAGCCACAGTTCCACTTCCAGATGTTTGGTGATGAATTGGAGCTACGTCTCAAGAACTTTCCTTCTCTCAGGCTGGTTTCAAAAGGTGATCCTCAGATCTCAGCCTACAGAGTAGCTAAGATTATTAGCTAAGGCAGAAGCCACCACACCTTGCTGTTTTGCTTTCCCTCCCAAGCTTTCCTGAGATCATCTCTCCCAGAGTTATCAATAGCTCGACTTGGTTGGGAGAAAGAACCCAATCTTCTAGAAAGCCCCTCCTTTAGGAAGGTGGCCAAGATTGGCATTCCATCTCTACCTCCCTGCAGGTGAATGATGGTTGCCTTAGGGTCTGGAGGGGAGGCCGAGCAGAGGGACATTCAGAGTCCAGGACCCATGCACCTGCCATGAGGAGGGTGGCCACGCACTCGGGACGGTCCTGCACTGCTGCCTTCATCAGGGCGGTGAATCCCCGTTGGTCCCTGCGCTCCAAGTCCAGGCCCGCATAGTAGTTGAGCAGGAAACTCACTAGAGGGGTGTGGCCTGCAGGGCAAGAAGGGAGGAATGTGGTTCCCCAGGCCAGGAAGTGCTGAAGCCCAAAGCTACCCTCCAGACCTTGAGTTCAAGTCCCAGGACTGGCACAAAAAGAAAAAAATAGGGAGTGGTGATTTATGAAAGGAGGATTGGCTCACATTAAATTCAAAAACTAGGGCTGGAAAGGTGGCTCAGTGGTAGAGCGCTTGCCTTGCATGCCTGAGGCCCTGGGTTCGATTCCTCAGCACCACATAAGCAAAAAGAAAAAGCCAGAAGTGGTACTGTGGCTCAAGTGGTAGAGTGCTAGCCTTGAGCTGAAGAGCTGAGGGACAGCGCCCAGGCCCAGAGTTCAGGACCCACGACCAGACCCCGCCCCCCGCAAAAAAAATTCAAAAACCAAAGATCTTAGCCTTAGAAAACTTACTGTGGCTTTCTGTGTGAGAGAGATTGGAGAAAACCTCAGAGAGACAACTAGGGGGCTTTGGAGTCGTGGAGTCCGTAGGAGTAGAGTGTGGGTTGCTCAGGACAGGGGGAGGTGCTGTGCTCTCGGCTGGAGCAGAGCCTGACTTGGGACAATCTCATGCCTAGTCCTGATGGCTGGTGAAAGTGCACACGGTGGGGGGGGGGCAGCCTCGAACCTGCTTGGGCAGCCAGCATGAGGGCCGTGTTCCCTTCTTTGTCCTGATGGTTCACATCCAGGTAAGGACAGCGGCTCAGCAGGGTCACAATACTTGCGAAGCCATGGTAGCAGGCGACCATGAGGCCTGTCTGGGGGTGGGGTAGCTGAGTCCCCACTTTCCTCCAGGGTCTCCGTAAGGACCTCCTGTGCCCTCTAAACCTGTATCTGTCCCAACACCAGTCCCGCCTCTCTCCCACCCAAGCCCACCCTCACCCTTCCCAACTGTGGAGATTGACCCTGAAATTCTCAGGGTCAATTAGACCAATATGGCCTGGTAGGGAGACCCAGTTGTCCCCAGCTGCCTGGGGAAAGCCCCTAGCGGCACCTCACCCTTCCATTGCTGTCCACATGAGCCACCTGCTCTGGGGAGACCCCAGCATCCAGGATGGCTTGGAGCTGAGCAGGGTGGTTGTGAACACAGGCCCAGTACAGGGCTCCCAGACTCTCGTCAGGGGCAGGGGTCTCCTCCTTAGGGCAGGACGGTGTCTCAGCCATGTCCAGCTCCTCTGCTTCCAGCCTGAGGCCTGTGGGTGAGTCCCTCCTCACGTGTGTGGGTGAGTCCCTCCTCACGTGGCTGGCAGCTGTGGCAGAACAGACAGGTGCAGTATCTCCCTGGATCCTGGGCAGGGGTCCCATGCACCAGGCTGAGGACCACAGGTAGATGGACGGGACCAGGAGCAGTAGAGGGGTACTGTGAAGCAGAGTCCCATGGAGGCTCCCCACAAGGAGTTACTTTTCCCTCCCCATCCTTACCTGGGGCTGGAAGATCTCCAAGAGTAAGGTCTTGCCAGGCACTGGAGACATATGCCTGTAATCCTAGCTACTCAAGAAGCTGTGATCTAAGGATCACAGTTTGAAGCCAGCCGAGGGCAGGAAAGTCTGCGAGATTCTCTCTGATCTCCAAGTGACCACCAAAAGGCCCCAAGTGGAGCTCTGGCTCAAGTGGTAGAGTGTTAGCCTCGAGCAATAAAGTTCAGGGTCAGCACCCAGGCCCTGAGTTCAAGCCCCAGGACTGGACACAAAAAGAAAAAAGGACTAAGGTCTTACCTCCTAGCACACTCGCTCCGCTCCGAGTGACCTGGAAGCAGGTGACAGATGGCTAGACTCAGAGAAAAAGCTGCCACAAACACCTTGGGGCTGAGCCGGGTCAAGCGGGTTAGGAAGGGATTGGAGCGGGTGAGTATTGTCTAAAGCCAACCAACATGGGCCCCAAGGCCCTGCCAGGCCTGCCTGAGCTCCCAGGCTGCTACCCCTACCGAGAGCACGGAGGACCAGCCTCTGTCCTGCGCTCGCCTCTGCCTTTGAGACCTGCCAATTGCTCTCCAAAGCAGAGCCTTCAAAGCAGGAAAGGGCTATGCGGGCTAAGAGGCAGGGTTGTCCTCCTCTCCGGTACAGCATGGCTGCGGATGGTGTGAAGAGGGAGAGGCACAGGACGTTCACTAAATATGGCTACAACACTCAGGATAATGGAGGAGGGGGCGCTCAGGAGTTACCTGGACCTGTTTATTTATTTATTTTTACATGCTAGAGAGATCAAAACATAAAGAATTGATGGGCACTAGTGGCTCATGCCTGTAATCCTAGTCACTCAGGGGACTGAGATCTGAAGAGCAAGGTTGGAAGCCACAAGCAAGGAAGTCCATGCAACACTTATCTCCAATTAGCCAGCAAAAAGCTGGAAGTAGTAGAACAGTAGGCTTGAGTGAAAAAGCTCAGGGACAGTGCCAGGTCCTGAGTTCAGAGTTCAAGCCCTAGGACACACACACACACACACACACACACACACAGACTCAATGATTGCCTACCTGATTCAAACCCTAGTACTGACCCCCTCAAGAATGTATAGGAATTGTGATATATTAAAATGTAATGGATTCATTTCAGAGTGCTAGTCAATAAGAAATACTTAACTTGAATTATTTATTAGTGTAATAATAGCTGAGTGCCAGTGGCTCACATCTCTAATCCTAGCGACTCAGAAAGCTGAAAGGATTTGTGGAGGATCATAGTTCAAAGCTAGCTCAGGCAGAAAAGTCTGCAAGACTCCATCCCTAATTAACCAGCAAAAAGTAGAGCTAGAGACATAACCAGCCTAGCAACTGTGAGACTCTTAAGTTCAAACCCTACTACCAGCAAAACAAACAGAAAAAGACTTCTTATGAATGTAATAATAGATCATTGCTAAATTATTCCTTACTATTAACTTTAGTAGATTGGAGTTCAATGTAGAAAATTGAAATGACCCTTTTCCCTCCAATCATATCATCCCAGCACTACTTAATTACATTTCCCTTCCATCCCTGATCCCCACGTTGGCTTTCTCATCTCTTGATAAATTTTTAAATGCCATGCACTCATAAATTTTTGAAAAAGTACATTTCATTGAAAAAGGTAGTGTCGTGTGTGTGTGTGTGTGTGTGTGTGTGTGTGTGTGTGTGTGTCTGTGTCTGTGTCTGTGTCTGTGTGTATGTGTGTGCTGGTTCTGGAGCTTGAACTCAGGGCCTAGGAGCTTCTTTTGTTGAAGGCTAGTGTAGTATCACATGAGCTATAGCTTTACTTCTAGCTTTTTGGTGGTTAAAGATACAAGTCTCATAAACTTTCCTGACCAGGCTGGGTTCAAACTGCAATCCTCAGATCTCAGCCTCCTGAGTAGCTTTAGGATTGTAGGCATGAGCCACCAAGCTGGGATGATTTTTTTAGAGACAGAGTCTTGCTTTCATATTCCAGGATGAACTTACGATCTTCCTGCCTCAGTCTCCTGAGTTCTGGGATTGCAAGTATGCACCACCATACCCAGCTTATGGATATATCTTTAAGCAACATGGTGTAAGTTGTGCCCTGGTGTTCTTTGTTTATCTCCCTCAATGCTGTGTTTAAGATCTGCCCTGGTTCTGGGAGTCATGTGGCAGTTTAGAGCACTTCTGGTTGTGAGTGCCTGAAGCTGACTTCAGTAGTGAGCTCCCTGTCCTGGGCCAGCCACTCAGCACCCAATGGAAGCTGCTGTGAGAATTTCTTTTGAACTACAGAAGCTGACACAGTAAACAGCAATTCCTAGGGTCCCTGCACTAGGAATCTGCAGTGTAGGGTCTGTGTGCAAGGCGCACAAGTTTGGAACAGAGCCATGAAGCATGGGCCATCTATTCAGCAGTCATCCATTCAGCAGCAGGCAGGCTCTGGGAGCAGTTTCCTGATACATCAGCTTCCCATACTAGTCTCTCCATTGATTTCTAAATTACAGGCAGAGGTCACATGACCATAGCAGTCACATGACCTTCAAAGCTGGCAGTTGTTCCTGACCTGAAGCCTGATTTTTCTAATCCTTTCTATTTAAACTAGTCGGATGTATTTCTGTTCTCTGCAACTGAACTGTGACACGTGTAACTTAAGAAAGAGGGGGTTGTTTTTTACACACATACGATTAAAAGTTCAGGGCCAGTAAGCTATTGTTGTCAGCTAAACAATTTGATCAAGTCAGGGCCTTCTCTGGATTCTTTTACCATTTCTTCTTAATCACAAGATAGCTGCTATGCCCCTTGCTGTCTTGGGTACGTGCTATGGAATTCTAAGTGGCATTTAGGAGAGATCTATCAGTTTATATATGAGTCATCTCTGATTAGCAGACACAATGCCTGATCATAATCCCCCTTCTCTCTAGTCACCTTTCAGCTTGATGTGGTCATGTACAATGCAATGTGAGCCAGTACAATGCAAACATCGGTCTAAGCAGTAGGAAAATCTTTGCTTTCTCAATAAAAGATGAGGAGGTACATTTTTCCTTCCTTCCTTCCTTCCTTCCTTCCTTCCTTCCTTCTTTCTTTCTTTCTTTCTTTCTTCCTTCCTTTCTGATGAGAGAGAGGGAGAAAGAAAGAGAGAGAGAGAGAATACTGATACTTGAAATCAGGGCCTCATGCTCTGACTTAGTTCTTTTGCTCTATGGCTGGTATTCTACCACTTGAGCTATGCCTCCCGTCCACCTTTTGTGCTGATTAATTGGAGATGGAATCTCTTAGACTTCTCTGCCAAGACTGGCTTTTTGTTGTTGTTGTTGTTGGTTGTGGGGCCTGGGCACTGTCCTTCAGCTCAAAGATAGTACTCTACCACTTGAGCCACAGTGCCACTTCCAGCTTTTTCTGCCTATGTGGTACTGAGGAATTGAACCCAGGCCTCATGCATGCAAGACAAGCACTCTACAACTGAGCCACCTTCCCAGCCCACCTGCCAAGACTGGTTTTGAACCTTGATCCATAAATCTCAGCCTTCTGAGTAACTGGGATTATTGGCAACATCTACCAGGCATAAGCCTGGACATTTTTGTTTGGCAACATTTCTTGGTAGAGCTGGAGGTGCAGTTCAGTGTTAAAATGTGTGCTTATCATGCCCTAGTCCCTGGGTTCAATACCCTGCATTAACTTCAAAAAGGTTCTTGGTCATTCTTTTTCTTTTTGGTGGTACTTGGACTTAAACTCAGGTGCTCTATCACTTGAACCATGTCCAACTTTTTTTTTCCTGATAGGGCTTCACATATTTTTTCCTAGGCCTGCCTTGACTTCAAGCCTCCTATTTATACTTCCCATGTAGCTGAGAAAACAGGAGCCTATAGGTACATCCAATTATTGGTTGAGATGGGGGTCCCATGAACTCTTTATCCAGGCCCAAACTCAATCTTCCTGATCTCTGTGTTCGAAATAGCTGAGATTACAGGCGTGAGCCAGCATACTGGGCTTTGGTCATATTTTATAGTTTCCTATTCCCTGTGTCTTTTTGTTTTCTGAGACAAGGTCTTACTATGTGGCCTAAGATAGCCTTGAACTCTCCATCCTCCTACCTCAGCCTCCCAGGAGCTGGGATTACAGGTATGCACAACCATGCTAGGCACCAGCTTGGATCTTAATTCTTTAAACATATGAACCATGGTTTTATAAATATAAAGTTTATTGCTAGTATTTTTGCCAGTCTTGGGGCTTGAACTCATTTTGTTGCTATTATTAAGGAGTTGTACAGAGGGGTTACAATTGTAATGAGTACAATTCTTGGACAATATCACCCCTTCCTTCACTTTTCACTAGTTCACCCTTCCATCCATGCCCACAAGTTGCATAGTTTGTTTCCTACCTAATATATATTGAATACCATTACTGCATTTGTTCACCCTCCTCCCTCTATTGAAACATGATCATTTTATACACTGGACTGGGGACCTTGTGAGTCTGTTTCTATTGCTCATTGTTTTATGGGATCTTGTTTGTAATATGTTTTCTCTTTTTATATTCAGTGACTTTTGTTGACTATAAACTGTTCATTTTCCCTGGAAAATTATGTTAGAAAGTTCTCATGGTTGAAGCTGAAGGTTAGGAAAACTATGTTAGAAATGTTTTGCTGAGTGCTAACAGCTCATGCTTGTAATCCTATCTATTCAGGAGGGTGAGAGCTGAGGATCCTTCTTAACTCGAGCTGTGGCTCAAGTGGTAGAGTGCTAGCCTTGAGAGAAAAAGCAT